ATTGTATCTTCAGACACAACACCCATACCATAAAAACACCATTTCCTGCACTGGTGTTGCCACCTTCTTCCCGAAGAAGCTCAGTGCCTCCAACAGCCCCAAGGATTCTCAATCACATCATCCTAAGACCTAGCTCAGGTATGGCATTTACTGGAAAGACGCCAGTTTAGTAGAACACTTAAAGTATGAACTCGGTGTAGAGTTATTCACCCTGAGGTCATCACAGAGGACAAGGGGGCACTCTTTACATTTGGAGGAAAAGAGATTTCATCTCCAAACACGGAAAGGTTTCTTCACAGTAAGAGCTGTGAAAATGTGGAATAGACTCCCTCAAGAGATGGTTCTGGCCAGCTCAGTGGATTGCTTTAAAAAAGTCCTGGATTCTTTCCTAGATACACAGAATATAACTGGATACCAAGATTTATTGGTATAACTTGATCCAGGGAATATCCAATTGCCTCTCGGGGGATCAGGAAGGATTTTTTTTCTGCAGGAGCAAATTGAATCATGCTTTGCTGGGGGGTTTTTTTTCGCCGCCTTTTTTTTTTTTCAGTGGTTGAACTCGATGGACTTTTGTCTTTTTTTCAGCCAGACTAACTATGTAACTATATAACTAAAGGCAACATTTTTTAGTTTTGGATAGAGCAGAAATGGATCAAAACCCCTGTCAGGTTTTTATTGCCTTCATCTGCCCTCATTAGGAAGATTCCCCAGAACTGTAATAGAGGGGAATCTTCTAATGGGAACATTGATTTTGGTGACCTGGGGGCCCTCAAGGGCTTCCCTTAATTTGGACGGATTTCCTCTTACTTCCTGTTTGGCTATAGGACAGGAAGTGATGGTAAATCTCCCCAATGGAAAACAGATGGCATAACAACTGACAGGACTCATTACCCTCCCTTACTCTATCTAAAATTAAAAAAAAAATATTTTTGCCTTCAATTCCACTTTAATTTTCCTGCCAGTTTAACAAACGGAGGCACCATCGTTAATAGTTTATGTTTAAAGATCCAAGCAGCTCTCATCCACACAGCCATCAATTTTCCATTGATCTTTTCAATCATATTCAATACAGTAGAATTTTTATTATGTGAGAGTGGCGCACAGGTGTCTGCTGTGTTGTTCAATTTGAACCAAATTACAAAGGTGAAATGTCCAGTCAATTTATTTAATGTTTGCAAACTCTAAAAAGATTCAATTCAATATTTTATTACAATGCAAACAGACCGAGACAGATGGAAAAAATTCTACCCTGTCTGACTGTTTTCCTTTTTGATTCAACCTTCGGGCTTCACCTTTTCATAAAAAATATTGGAACAAGCAGAATCCAATACAGCGTTGCCATGTAGATCAAAGTTTCTTTAAAGTGATATTAAAATCTCTCTTTTTTTTATAAAAAAGATGTTATACTTAAAGAATAAGTTCACCTTTTGGCCAAAAATAATAAATGCTCATTTTTCTGCAGGAAAAAAATGTACATTTAATGTTTTTGGTTGCAGGAGCCTGGAAAGCATTGCACCAGCAATCAGCAGATCCCTGGTGCTATGCAGGTCTCCTGCATACCTGTCAGTATACCTGCTTGTCATATACAGGATGTACAGGCACCAGATACACTGATAGAAAGACTCAAAAAATACTACAACGCTGTGGTGGTTCATTGGAGAACTACAAGCTGAAGCCCCCCACGGACGCACTGTTTTTAAATAGTGACAGCTTGTACAGGGGAACTTCTCCCCAGACTGCTGTCACAGGGGGGGGGGGGGGGCAGTGGCCAGCGGCTGCAGCGGCGGGAACATGTTACATGTTCCACCCTAAAAATGGGTAGAACATATAACATGTTCCCAAAAGAGAACTTATCCTTTAATTGGTCTGTGCAATGGTTTTTTGCACAGAGCAGATCCAATCCTCCTCTTCTGGGGTCCTCCTCCGGCAATCTGGGCTCATCCTCTTCTCCATGTGCCACCATTGGAAGCTGCTTCCAATGGTGGCAGATATGTGGACTCCATCCTGAGCTGGGCTGTGTGTGTCCATTTACACGCACAGTGAGGCTTGGCCCTTCTTCTGCCCCATCATCAGAGTGCCACTTACATCTGGTGTCCCCATCAGAAATCCCCTTACATCTGGTGTCTCCATTAAGAGTCCCCCTATATATCTTGTTTTCTCCTTAGAGTGCCCCTTTACATCTAGTGCCACCATAAGAGTCCCCCCTTATATCAATTGTCCTCAGTAGAGTGCCTCTTTAGATCAGGTGTCCCCATCAGAGTCCCCCTTACATCAGGTGCCCCATCAGAGTCCCCCTGACATCAGGTGCCCCAATCACAGTCCCCCCTTTACATCTGGTGTCCCCATGAGAGTCCAATTTACATCAGGTGCCCCCATCATTGTCCCCCTTACATCAGGTGCCCCAATCACAGTCCCCCTTTACATCTGGTTTCCCATCAGAGTCCCCTTACATCAGGTGCCCCATCACAGTTCCCCCCTTACATCAGTGTGCCCCATCAGAGTCCCCCTTTACATCTGTGTTCCCATCAGAGTCCCCCCCTTACATCAGTTGTTCCCAGTCAGTCGCCTAATCCTCTCTCCAGCTATTTTAGGACTCACTGTCCAGTCTTGACTAGTGTGTCCCCTTTTCAGGTGAACTGAAAAACCAGGACACATGATTCAAAACTCGGACTGTCCGGGTGAATCCTAGACAGGTGGCTACCCTACAGCTGCCCACTGTGCATGCACGAGGTGAACTGCATTTGTGAATGGTCCTGCAGTTTGGTGTGCATTGCTTTTCAATGGTTCTCAACCTAGTCCTAATGCCGCGAGTCCCCCTTAATACAGTTCCTCATGTTGTGGTGTAGACCCCCAACCATAAAATTATTTCCTCTCTCCAGCTATTATAATTCATGGAAGTCACTGTCGTTTTACCTCCATGATTGCTTACTACACAGTAGCTGTCTCTTTACACATTGGAAATATGTGTGGGTCAGATAGTCTTAGGCTGCCCCTGTGAAGTCGAGGGTGCGTTCGACCCCCAAAGGGGTCACGACCCACAGGTTGAGTGTGTACTAGAGTTTTTTTCTTTTTGGGAGGTTGCATGTGATCAGCACGGGCCAAATCAGCACTCTCCAGGCTCAGGGCCAGGTCATACAGCCTCATAGGACAGTCAGAGGAGAATGAAAACACCTCCTACAATCTTTAACCAGATGCCGGGGGCTGGTCGGGGGAGTGTCCCTGGCGTGCATCGGTGCCATGCCTCACGCTCTCAGCATGCATGATGTCATGGAGCCGATACACTAGGCTGTCATCTGCTGCTACAACATGGGAATGGCACTTCACACCATTAGCCTTGGTGGTATGCACCGCCCAGCGGTAACACCTTCCCCTCATGGGCAGTATTTGCATGGCGTTGGGAGGGACCTGTTGCTCAGTTCCATGTGGGATAATGGGTAGTGGCGGATAGAACATTCTTTTCTTGTCCTTCTTTTTGGGTCACCATGGACTACAACTGGGACCACAGTATTAGCACGCAAGACTATCAGGGTATTTGCCCACAATAATCCTTCTTTTCTTGCACACTTCTGGTTGCCATTATTCTTTATGCATGAGCTTTTTCTTGGGATAAGTCTTACATTGCTACTCACTTTATTCTCATTTACATTTTCAGCCATTCAGGTGTCAGTCCTTACTAGTAATTCACTGATCATAATTTTTTGCTTTTTCTTTCATCCTTTTGGTCCTCAAACAGCAGCCACAGGTTACATATTATTTATATAAATGCAATATACTATTCGATAATACAAACTCATGTTTTTCACAGATAATTCTGGTATTTGCTGTGGGTGCGACTATGGGTCATACTGAGATCTGCATGTTATCTGCATTCAGTCTGCCCTCCTTGGTCCCTCTGCAGGTCACACTACCACAGCTCCCAGGACAGATGTCCCCAAGGACCTGCAATACTTAGTGCTGTCATGTCAATACTTTGAGCTGCTTTGTGAGTAGTGGGACTATCCGTTTGCATTGTGGAGCCATTTAATGATTATTCTGTATTATTATTCTGTTATTAATTTATTTATTTTTGTGTATATGTGCAATGTATATTATTTTTGATATGTACCTTGCATCTAATCCTGAGGAAGTGGACTGAGATCCACGAAACGCATCGAGTTCTTGGATGCAATGTGTTTGGACTGTACATTTAACACAAGAACATTTATGGATGAATTTATGTTGCAAAATTGGTTATTTTGATATAGTAAATTATTACAAGTCAGCTCAATACTGTTTTTTAGCTTGATTTTATTGTGATCAGATCGGTATATATATGGAATAAAATTGTAATCATGTGTACCAATCATGTTATTATTTGTATGTGATGCACCTCATTTTACCACATGCCTACCGGGCACTTCTACCCCCTTCCTGCCCAGGCCAATTTTCAGCTTTCAGCGCTGTCACACTTTGAATGACAATTGCGCGGTCATGCAACACTGTACCCATATGGCATTTTTATCATTTTTTTGTGACAGATAGAGCTTTATTTTGGTGGTATTTAATCACCTCTGGGGTTATTATTTTTTCTTAAACAAACCAAAAACCACTGAAAATTGTGGGAAAAAAAATGTTTTTTCTTAGTTTTTGTTATAAAATTTTGTAAATAAGTGATTTTTCTCCTTCACTGATGTGTGCTAATGAGGCTGCACTGATGGGCACTGATAGGCTGCACTGAAGGACACTGATAGGTGGCACTGATGAGGAGACACTGGTAGGTGGCACTGATGGGCATTGACAGGCATCACTGATGGGCACTGAAAGGCAGCACTGATACATGGCACTGATATATGGCACTGATAGGCAGCACTGATACATGGCACTGATATATGGCACTGATAGGCGGCACTGACTGGCACTAATAGGCAGCACTGACTGGCACTGATAGTCGGCACTGACAGGCACTGATAGGCGGCATTGATCCGCACTGATAGGCAGCACTGACTGGCACTGATAGGCAGAACTGACTGGCACTGATAGGTGGCACTGATTGGCAGCACTGAAAGGTGGCACTGATTGGCTTTGATAGGTGGCACTGACTGGCACTGATGGGTGACACTGAAAGGCAGCTCAGATGGGCACTGATATGTGGCATTGATGTGCACTGAGGGGCACTGGCACGAGGCACTGATGAGCACTGACATAAGGCACTGATGGACACTGACAGGTGGCACTGCTGGGGCTACACTGATCATCAGGGCACACTGATCATCAGTGCCCTGATGATCTGTGTACATGTCCCCTCCGCGGAAAGCCGATTACTGGCTCGATTCAACTCAGCGTGACAGCACGAGAGGAGAGAAATGCAGATAACCAGCATTTCCGTGTTTACATGCGATCAGCTGTGATTGGACACAGCTGATCACGTGACCGAGCCGACATCTTCGGCTCTCTCCGTGATCGGTGATCCGCTCTGTCCGAGGGACGCAGCATAATGCAGATCGCCGGGCTGCGCGCTTCCTGAGCCGCGCATGTGAGGTGAGAATGGGAGGACGTCATATGCCGTCCTATCAGAACGAGAGGACCACCTTGCGCCCGTCATATTACTATATGGCGGGCAGGAGGTGGTTAAAGTCCCAGGAATTACATTATATTGCCAAAAGTATTGGTCAGCCTGCCTTTACACGCACATGAACTTTAAGAGCATCCCAGCCTTAGTCTGTAGGGTTCAATATTGAGTTGGTCCGCCATTTGCAGCTATAGCTGCTTCAACTCTTCTGGGAAGGCTGTCTACAAAGTTTAGAAATGTGTCTATGGGAAGGTTTGACCATTCTTCCAGAAGCGCATTTGTGAGGTCAGGCACTGCTGTTGGATGAGAAGCCTGGCTCGCAGTCTCTGCTCTAATTCATCCCAAAAGGGTTCTATCTGGTTGAGGTCAGGACTCGGTGCAGGACAGTCAAGTTCCTCCACCCCAAACTTGCTCATCCATGTCTTTATGGACCTTGCTTTGTGCACTGGTGCGCAGTCATGTTGGAACAGGAATGGGCCATCCCCAAACTGTTCCCACAAAGTTGGGAGCATGAAATTGTCCAAAATGTCTTGGTATGCTGATGCCTTAAGAGTTCCCTTCACTGGAACTAAGGGGACAAGCCCAACCCCTGAAAAACAACCCCACACCATAATCCCCTCCCCCAAACTTTACACTTGACACAATGCAGTCAGGCAAGTACTGTTCTCCTGGCAATCGCCAAACCCAGACACGTCCATCAGACTTTCAGACAGAGAAGCGTGATTCGTCACTCCACAGAACATGGTTCCACTGCTCTAGAGTCCACTGCATCCGATGCTTTGCATTGCACTTGGTGATGTAAGGCTTGGATGCAGCTGCTCGGCCATGGAAACCCATTCCATGAAGCTCTCTATGCACTGTTGTTGTACTAATCTGAAGGCCACATGAAGTTTGGAGGTCTTTAGCTATTGACTCTGCAGACAGTTGGCGACTTCTGCACACTATGCGCTTCAGCATGCGCTGACCCCACTCTGTCATTTTACGTGGCCTACCACTTCATGGCTGAGTTGCTGTTGTTACCAGTTGCTTCCACTTTGTTATAATCCCACTAACAGTTGAGCGTGAAATATTTAGTAACAAGAAAATATCACTAATGGATTATTGCACAGGTGGCAACCTATCACGGGACCACGTTTGAATTCACTGAGCTGCTGAGAGCAACCCATTCTCTCACAAATGTTTGTAGAAGCAGTCTGCATGCCTAGATGATGATTTTATACACCTGTGGCCATGGAGGTGATTGGAACACCTGAATCCAATGATTTGAAGTGGTGTCCCAATACTTTTGGCAATATAGTGCATGTACCTAAATTTGTGGATATAAGCTTTAGCCAGTGCTCTGCTGGACACTGGTAGAAGTCACATGATTGCTATATACTGCTGATGAGAAAAGGTATTTAGCAGTTTATATTTACTAAAATAATTCAATTTCCATATTGTGTGTACTGTGGGAGACCAGATATAGCGAATGCAGGGTCCGGGGAGACCAGATATAGTGAATGCAGGGTCCGGGGAGACCGGATATAGTGAATGCAGGGTCCAGGGAGACCAGATATAGTGAATGCAGGGTTCGGGGAGACCAGATATAGTGAATGCAGGGTCCGGGGAGACCAGATATAGTGAATGCAGGGTTCGGGGAGACCAGATATAGTGAATGCAGGGTCCGGGGAGACCAGATATAGTGAATGCAGGGTCCGGGGAGACCAGATATAGTGAATGCAGGGTTCGGGGGAGACCAGATATAGTGAATGCAGGGTCCGGGGAGACCAGATATAGTGAATGCAGGGCGGGGAGGGGATATAGTGGCAGATCCGGGGAGACCGGATATAGTGAATGCAGGGTCCTGGGTTTAGTAACACTTTAACGAACGGCTCAAACTATTGCATAATGTCATCCGAATGAAACACATGAATAGGAATTAATTTGTTGGCATTATAATTTATTTTGGATTTGTTGAAATTCATTACTATTGTGATTCAGGGATTCATATACATCCAAATCTCTGGATAATGGCAGTTTTATCTGAATTTCAGTTTGTTACAAAACAAATCGCACATGTCTAGTCCCTCAAGTAGATTAGAATCTAAAGTCCCTATCCCATATATATACTAAAGCCATTTTTTTTTTAACCTGCCAGCATTTTTTGGAGTGTGGGAAGAAACCCCAATGAAAACCCACACAGGCAGAACATGCAAACTCCATGCACATAGTGTCCTGGATGGCAATCATCTGAGGACTCCGGTGCTATAAGGCAGAAGTGCTAACCACCAAATCACAGTACTGCGGACATAAAACAAAACCATTTTAACTACAAGAATACATGAGGACCCTCCAAGCGAGCCTATTGTAGATAAATCATGCTGCATAAACGGCTTTGATCATAGTGGATGGGGGTGCAGAGCGCCTTTAAAAGCTGCTGGGAGGACACACAGAGCTGAACCAGAGATTGTGTTTATGCCAGTCACTCGAGCGATGATCTTTAAAAAGTGTAACATATTGAATATGCAATCACACGAGGCGGACAGAGACAAGACAACGCGTATTGTAGCATGAAATGTGTTTACCATTGAAAGTGGTAAAATCGATGCTTTTAGCATTAGATCACAGCCAATTGTGAGCCACAACTTTCTCCCCTCTTTAATGAAACCACAATTGATTTTTCTTTTCATCCCTCTGAATCAAGGCCTCAGAGCAATTTCTTTTTTGTCGAAGGTTCTCACATTTAATTTGGATAGATGCTGAGGGGGGGAGAGCACTTATAAATCAGCCCAGGAGAGCACTCGGGCTGGATGGAGTGCCGCGGCTGCGCTATATATAAATATGAAGGGTCTCACGTTTACATAGAGAAGCTGAACAGGCGGGATAATCGCTATACATGACAAGCTGGGCCACTGCTATGGGGCCCTGCAAGGGAAAGGCCACCTATATATTACCATCAGTATGAGTGATAGGCATTGGAGTGTGCAGGGGTGTATTTACTGGAGTTTGCCTAGGGCGCCCCCCCCTGCCTGGAAGAAGGGACTCATGTAGCAGGTGACCAGGGCCGGTGCCAGTGCCGATCTTCAGAGAGGGTAACAATCGTACTACAGCTCTCCCCCTCTCTCTCTCCCCCTCTCTCTCTCTCCCCCTCTCTTTCCCTCTCTCTCTCTCTCCCACTCTCCTTCCCCCCCTCTCTCTCTCTCTCCCCTCTCCCACCAGCCCTCACCCCCCCCATCTCCCCCCTCTCCTTCCCCTCTCTCCCCCTCTCCCTATCCCCCCCTCTCTCTCTCCCTCCCTCCCTCTCTCTCTTCCTCTCTCCCCCCTCTCTCTCTCCCTCCCTCCCTATCTCTCTCCCCCTCCACCCCCCCTCTTCTTTCTATGTCTCCCCCCTTTTTTTCTCTTTCTCTCTTTCTTTCTTTCTTTCTTTCCTCGAATGTATTAGTTCTACATTTATAGCTCGAAACAGGCATGGGATTGATCTGCTTATAATAATAAATACAAGTAGAAATCTGAAATTCAGGACTTCTCTAGTGCTGCAGCTCTGGAACATTCAGCCGTGTTACATCAGGATCCCCAGAGTCCCCCCACATTACATCAGGGTTCCCAGAGTCCCCCCACATTATATCAGGTCCCCAGAGTAACCCCAAATTACATTAGGGTCCTCAGAATCCCCCCACATTACATCAGGGTCCCCAGAGTACCCCCACATTACATCAGGGTCCCAAAACTCCCCCCACATTACATCACAGTCCCCAGAGTCCCTCCACATTACATCAGGGTACCCAGACTCCCCCCCACATTACATCAGGGACCCCAGACTCCCACTACATTACATCAAGGTCCCCAGAGTCACCCCACATTACATTAGGGTCCTCAGAATCCCCCCACATTACATCAAGGTCCCCAGAGTCTCTCCACATTACATCAGGGTCCCCAGAGTCCCTCCACATTACATCAGGGTCCCCAGAGCCCCCCCACATTACAACAGGGTCCCAAAACTCCTCCCACATTACATCACGGTCCCCAGAGTCCCCCCACATTACAACAGGGTCCCCAGACTCCCCCCACATTACATCAGGGCCTCCAATGTCCCCCTAAACACTCCATCATACTTAGACCATACACTGCATACAACCATTACCCCCCCATAATGTTTCACTCACCAAACCATAACTTTACCAAACATATCCTACCTTCTATCCAACCTCAACCTCAAATGCCCCATAGTCTACCACCCAGAATAACCACATCATCCTGAACCTGACCATACCACCCATACATGTATGTTTACTCACACATTTATACACACAGACACATGTACATACACACACACATAAACAGAGACACCTGTAGACACACCCAAACACATGTACATAGACACACACAGACACATGTACAAAGACGCACACAGAAACATGTACACACACACACACAGAGACACATGTACACACACACATACAGACACATGTACACACGCACATACATGTACATACAAACACACACAGACCCATGTACATACATACATACACACACACATACACACAGATACATGTAAATATATACAGACACAGGTGCACAGACACATGTACAGACACATGTACATACACATACAGATACATGTACATACACACAGACACATGTACATACACATACAAAGACACACACACAAAGATACATGTACATATACACACAGATACATGTACAGTGGGGCAAAAAAGTATTTAGTCAGCCACCAATTGTGCAAGTTCTCCCACTTAAAAAGATGAGAGAGGCCTGTAATTGGCATCATAGGTAGACCTCAACTATGAGAGACAAAATGAAAAAAAAAAATCCAGACAATCACATTGGCTGATTTGGAAAGAATTTATTTGCAAATTATGGTGGAAAATAAGTATTTGGTCA